TCCATAAAAATAAGTAACTTCATATGGTCCAGGAGACATTATTAAAGGATCATTATAAAGTTGACATATATCTTTTCTCATGTGAGAAAGCATCTGCAGGGGACAGAATCATATAAAAGATATGCAAAACATTGTACTGGACCTACAGTAGCTAGTAACTACCTAGCCTTGAAAATGAATAAGTTTTAATGCAACTGCAGAATATACTTCAGGATGGAAAGACAAGTCTTACATGATAAAATCATGGATTAATTGTCAAGGCATTTGTCCACTCTGTCTTTAATATGCTCACCAGTAAACTATGAATTCCTGTATAGAACGTGGAACCAAATCTCCAGAGGGTAAAGCTCAAAGGGTTACTGCTGGCTTTCAAGATAATGATAAAGTCCATGCTGTTTAATAGTTTCATCCATAAACTGAACAAGAAATAGAGAAATGTTTCACTAAGTAGATGCAAAGAGTTGTTGGAAAGCTCCCAATATCTTGGAAGAAGTCAAAGTGATTTAGGTAAATAGAACGGTTAGAATCCTAACATTGACAAAGGAGGAAATGGTACTGTTGGCCCTCTGTGTCTCTGGGTTGCACATTTGGATCAAAAATACTTGGGAAAAAAACTTACTTCTGTAATGAATGTATGCAGAGATTTATTGTCATTACTCCCTAAACAATACAGCATAACAACTATTTACACTGAGTTTACAGTGTATTAAGTATTATAAGTAAAATACAGGGGAGGATAGGTATAGATTATGTGGAAATACTGTCATTGTACAGAGGACTTGAACATCTGTAGATTTTGGTATCCACAGGGGGTTCTGGGATCAGGGATGACTGTATTAGTCGCCTTTGTGGAGGAAAGGAGCTCTATAAATAAATCAAGTATGTACTAGTGTTTAACAGCAGACCATGGCATTCAAATTAGATAAGCTGTTTGAACAAAACAGTAGCCAAAGAACTGTAATTTTGAATCGCACCTAGTTAGGGACAGACAGCTATATGAAGGTATAAGTTGTAAATGTAGTCAGGAATTGGAAACACAAACACAGACAAACACACACACACACAAAATAACAACTGTGAAAGAAAAAGATTATCCAGTCTATACAGATAATATTTAACATATAAAGTACTCATGGGAATATTTAAAAAAAAATCCTGCCTTAATCAATGAGCCATTAGAGAGGCCCATGCTCTTTCCTAATGACCAAAGTGCTAGCATTGTTGCAATGTAAAACAAACCTGTGCATGAGAGGACTTTCCCAAGTTACAACAAGAGAGCTTGCAAGGATGCACATTGTCTGAAGCAACAGCAGAGAACCACGTGTTAATTCCTACCCCTCAGGAGAGGGTTAGAATATGTTTTTTTTTTTCTTTCCTCTTCCTAGACTTGCAATAAGGTCAGAGGCTTCTTTAGATAAGATTTTCAGCTCTAAATACTGTAGAGAATGATTGGGTTATGTTCTCAAAGTCCTTCTAGTTAGTTCTAGTAATTTTATGAGTTCTATTTTTCCCATGACTCTTCCCATTTCTGAATGTCCACCTTTGGCTTTCCTTGTGCACAGGGTTCTACCTTTTAGGTGAAATCCCTTGTAGGGATTCTTATAATGGTTCTAGAAAAGTTGCAGCTTTAATCCAGCATTTCCAGGCTCTCTGTCCATGCATAAAGATGAGTGCATCTCACCACAGACTCTCATTTTTGTGACTTCCCTGAACATCCTGACATAGGAAGCTCCCTGCAAGTAATGAGGGAGGAGAGCTCAGCAACAGTCACAAGACAAAGGCTGCCAAGTCCCCAGTCATGTAGTGCAGTGCATTCTCCTTACATCAAGCAGGGGCCACCCAGCAACAGACACAGAGATCCACAAAGTTTCATGAGTGTGAAGTCAGGAAATTTATTTCAAGTTTGATATTTTTATGTTTTTGTTTCTCCTTTTTTAAAGCAGCTAAACTTGTTAAGCATCCCATTTCCCCTGGTAAACAACAGCTTCCTCTTTTTTTTAAGGAACTGATAAATACTCACAGAATGTTCCCTCCTTCACCCCCACTCCTTCTGGATTTAAAGTCCACTAGAGACAAAGGGTCAGGAGCAACCTGGCAGTGATCAGATCTACTTTGACATTATATAAAGGGCAAGATGCAGGTGTGGGCTCCTTGTTTGAACCACAGTGTTTCCAGAAAATTACTGGGCCACAAGCAATATATTATTCAAGGGGATTTATGACTGGCAAATCCCAAAGGGAAATAGCATGCACCATCACATTTTTATTTGATCACAATTATGCAAGGGGCCTATAAATATCCACGCTGATCCTTCACTCCACTGGCCTTTCCAGGGAGGTCCTGGAAGTGTTTGTTCCTCAAATGCTTTCCTTAATCTCCTGTTTAATTGCCAGCAAGAGCACATTTAAAGTTTATAGTCACACTTTAAAAATGAGTAATTGGTTCTTACCTGAAATTGATTGCTAGCAAAAGGACCATGTCAAACTTACCCCAGATTAAAATGATGTAGCGCAGTGGAATGAAGTACAAAGTGATGGTGGCCACGGCCAGAATCAAACAGGCCAGGAATGAAAGGAACGGGACCGTCCAGTTAAACGTGCTGTAGACAAACCACATAAATTTTATTTCCTTTGATGCTCAACAACTTCTGGAGTTACCTTGTCATATGTATTTCATGCTCAGATGTATAAAATGTCTACTTAAAATTATTTTTTATTAAATACTTGCAGATACATATTAAAACATCACACTGTGTTAATGCCGAAATGTTTGAAGGTAAAAATGATTAGATTATGAAAGCTATAACCCCTCTAGTGGATTAATTCTTTTGATGAACTAATAATTTGAAAAGACTCCTCCAGGCAGTAGGATGTGCCCAGAGGAAGTAGGTAGCTGGGGGCATGCCCTTGGGGATTATATTTCTTGTTTTCCTGGCTGCTGCTCTCTCTGCTTTCTGGCCTCCTTGAGTTTAGAAGCTTTCCTCCTTCCATCATGCTCTTCTGCCATGGTGATCTGCCTCACCTCAGGTCCAGAGCAATGGAGTTGGCTACCATGGACTGAGCCTCTGAAACAGTAAGCCTGAATATACCTTTCCCTTGCCTAAAGTGTTTCTGTCAGGCATTTTGTCCACAGGGATGCAAAGCCATCACAACTCTCAGTGATTTAAAAACTGTGATACTGCCAAGATGGCTCTATGCATGGAGATCTTCAAAGCTTTGGTGGACTTCCTTTCAAATCAATATTTCTGTCAATGAAATACATAGTTGTAGATATTTTAAAAAGATTACTACGGTGCTTTCATGCTTCTGCATTCTCTAATATCTTCTGTTTAGAACTTCCAAGCTCATTTACTCTAAAAGGCAGAAATAAGGTGCTCTCAAATGGGTGGGGGGCATTGGCTACAAACCATCACACCACTAATCAAAGGTATGATTTTACCATACAGTATTTTCATGGGGCTCTTTGATCCTTTGATTATATGCATGGCTTGTTTGGTCTTGAAGACCTAGACTTTGGGATGTGGAATTCCATATAATGTAAAGATTCTTGAGTAGTCCTAAAAATAGAGCCCTACTTAGGATACCCAGAGTAGTTCTTCTTACTAATCTTCATCTTCCTATACAAATTTACATGTTTACTCTTTGCCTTGTACTAAAAATACCAAGAGGTAAAGATTTCTTCTGTTGTCTTTTGTATAAATTGAGGCAAGAATTTGGGCAATTTTGGAGGAAGTAGGTTATCTATCAGGCATTAATTTGTGCTAGTACTGAACATATATTTAAACTGCAATGCTCTTACTAATTCTGCTAAGTAAGTATTATCCCCATTTTACAGATGAGCACACTGAGAGGCTAATTTGTATATAAACAAAATTCCATCAACAGTATAGAATTAGGTACCTCACACTCTTAAGACTATTATCAATATTTCATCTTTGCCCATGGAGATAACATTTGTGTATGCATTTAATTTTTTCTTTAAATTATAAGTAGATTTGAACAACTTTTAATATGCTTGTTGATGATTTTTATAGAAGTTATTAAAAAATAAGTTATTTCCTTGCCCAGGGTCACAGTGTATAAAAGCATCAAAAAAAAAAGAGTTTACAAGCTGAGTTACTTTGGGAAAGTGACTACATCAATCTGAACTATAATTTCCTCTGTGCAAAATAGAAACAATAACACCTATGTCATAAATTTTGTTAGAATTAAATAAGAACTTGCATTTCAGAAATTAGTTCAGTATTTGGCACATTATAAAATCTCAAAAAAAAAAGGGGGGGAGATGCAAAGGCAGTTACTATTTGTGAATTTTCCCTGAAGCTGTTTTGCTTGACTTTGTCATAAGTGTTTTAAAATACGTCTTTGGATGGTAAAGTAATTGGTCCTTTCTCATGTTTGTTATCATATTTTTACAGTTAGAGGCTTTGTCTGTATTGTAAATTAAAATATTACCAAACTTAACACTGATTTTCCTTTTCCATTCCAGTATTTGGCCAGTCTTAGAAGATACCTTCCTGAGTTTAGTGCAATGATGAAAAATTTTATAAAAATCACTGTTTCCCATACTCCTTGAATATGACATCTTTGTTACTTGTCATAGACTTGGTTGATTTTTATAATGGATGTACAAAAAATATTAAGTTTGACACTTTTTTGCAATTTTAAAAAGTAAAAACATGAGTAGCAGATCCTGA